AGTTTGTAAGCCGCTCTGAGACTCCTTTGGGTAGTGAAGGGCGGTGTGTAAATCCAATCTACTCCTCTTCTTCTCTGTTACACAGACTATAAAATGATTGGCTTTGCACACGTTTCTAGTTCTTCTTTCGTGCCTGGGGCACATTCAAAAAGTCTGGATGATGGAAGATTTGACAGACGAGGCCTCGTATTACCTATGGGGGACAAACCTCCTCCTCCAGTTAAAATCCCATCCTTGCAGACATACTAACCACCTAATTGAAAGAAGAGTCAGGCTCTGTCTTCTGGCTTCCATGTCTAACTGTCTGCTCTCTTTCCTCTTTTTGTTTTAATTTTTTTTTTTTAAAGAATAAACATCAAAGCCCATTTCCTTGACAGCCTCACTGGCGTCTTGTTCGGAAAGAAAAATGAGGAACTTTGTAATAGCAAAAAAAAAAAGTTCCACACAGGTGGAGAGGAAGCAACCGGGTGATGTCACACCTGTCAGCCAATCAGTGCTCTCCACACCTTGCTACCCTTGTCACAAATAAACTCCTCTATCAGTTTCCCAGGGCCGTGGCGGCTCAGAGGTTAAGACGCTGAGCCGCAAATGGGAAGGTCGGTAGTTCGGCAGTTCGAGACCCGAGTGCCGCGTGATGGAGTGAGCTCCCGTCTCTGGTTCCAGCTCCTGCCAACCTAGCCGTTCCAAAGCAAGGAATCGCAAGTCGATAAATAGGTGCCGCTTCAGTGGGAAGGTAACAGCGTTCCGTGCGCCTCGGCGTTCAGTCATGCTGGCCACATGATCACGGAAAAGTCTTCGGTCAGCGCTGGCTCTTTGGCTTGGAAATGGAGATGAGCACCGCAACCCTAGAGTCAGATCTGACTAGCTTTCGAGCAAGGGAGACCTTTACCTTTTTATCGGTTTCCCAGGCCTTCCTTTCACTTGGACTTTAGCTGGATTTCGACCAACAGAAAACACACGGGCATTGCTAGGCAACTGTGCTCTGGATCACGCCCTTGGACAGGAAAAGGGCTGCCGGCTGGACATACGGTTTACTCCACTTGCACAGGCTAAAGGAGAAGATTTTAAAGGTTCACCCGGTGACTCAGCAATGGAAAAAGTGAGTATGTGGAAGGTTAAGACAAAGAGTACAGAGTAAACAGGAGGAATGAACACAGCAGATTTGGTCTTTCTGCCGCCTCTCTGTGTGGGTTGCTTGTGTGAGGAGAAGAGAAGAGATTGGATTTATAACCCACCCTTCACTTGGAGTCTCAGAGCGGCTTACAAACTCCTTTCCTTTCCCCTCCCCACAACAGACACCCTGCGAGGTAGGTGGGGCTGAGAGAGCTCTGACACGAACGGCTCTTTTTCAAGGACAGCTGTGCCAGAGCTTGTGACTGACCCAAGGTCACATTTATTTTATTTATTTATTATTTTATTATTTATTTCTTTGATTTATACCCTGCCCTCCCAACGGCTCAGGGTGGCTTACATATGGCAAAGCCAGAGTGAAATACAATAAAACATATGATAAGCTACATATTTAAAACACAATAAAACCATCCTATTTACACGGTGCTGAGCCTATATTTAATCTTCCAAGATGGGAACAACCATCCAAATTTGATGGCCAGCTCTCCCGGCAAAGCGGTCCCCTGCTACGCTGTTCTGCCAGGCCGGGCCAGTCCCCCTTTAACAGGGCTGCTGATGACGCACTACCTCGTTGGTAGGATAGTGGCGGCGGCGGCTCCTACTCAAAACGCCTGGCGGAAGAACTCCGTCTTACAGGCCCTGCGGAACGCTCGGGGGTCGCATCAGCAGGTGCAAGTGGAGGAGTGGGGAATCAAACCCGGTTCTCCCAGATTAGAGTCCGCGCACTTAACCACTACACCAAACTGGCTCTCGAGAGCATTGGTGTGTGTATTTGTCAAGTGCTGTCAAGTCACAGCTTGACTCGTGCGGCCCTGTAGGGTTTTCGAGTCAAGAGACAAACAGAGCTGGCTTAATTGCCTACCTCTGAGCAGTTGCCTACCTCTGAGCAAGGACCAACCAGGGCCAACCCTGCTCAGCTTTCAAGATCAGATGAGATCAAGCTAGCCTGGGCCGTCCTGGTCAAGGCAAAAGACATACAGAGGTGGTTTTGCCGTCGCCTGCCTCTGCGTGGCAACCCTGGACTTCCTCGGTGGTCTCCCATCCAAGGACTAACCAGGGCCGACCCTGCTTAGCTTCCGAGATCTGACGAGACCGGGCTAGACTGGGCCATCTAGGTCAGGAACAAAGACATACAGGGGTGGTTTGCCACTGCCTGCCCGTGGGTATGTTCAGACGGCGTGCTGAGAGCGGTTTAAACTGGTCCGGTTCTGATGCGATTATTTTTGAACTGGACAATCGCAATCACACTTACCTCCCTTATCCCGCCTCACCACGCAGTCACATCGCTCCCTGGCGTCTACACTACCGACGCGCGGGAGCGTGTGTCGGCGGGTTTTTAATTTTTTCCCCTCAGTTTGCGCATGCGCATAGGCACTCATCCATCGAATGGGGCGAAACTATCCACCAGGCGAATTTTATTTTCTCAGTTTGCGCATGTGCATAGGCACTCATCCATTGAATGGGGTGAAACTATCCACCAGGCGAATTTTATTTTCTCAGTTTGCGCATGCGCATAGGCACTCATCCATCGAATGGGGCAAAACTATCCACTAGGCGAATTTTTTTTCTCAGTTTGCACATGCGCATAGGCACTCATCCATCGAATGGGGCGAAACTATCCACCAGGCAGGTTTTTCCCCTCTCAGTTTGCGCATGCGCATAGGCACTCATCCATCAAATGGGGAAAAACTATCCACCGGGGCGAATCAATCCAACCCCTCCAACAAAAGACTTCCCTTTAAACATTTGACCCGAAAATGACATCCGTGAGATTCTGAACGCATCTAAACGCTAAAACAAGTGACCATTTAAATGTCGGTGTTCAAAACACGGTAGCGGAGCTGCGCCGATGCGCACACCGCTGACGCATAAAAAAATTGGCGGGCGAAAAGCGGAAGCCTCAGGCAGCTTTCAAGCGGGGAGGGGGTTTAAACCAGAAGACACCGGAGGAGCGATCACACAGGGGGGAAATGCGGCTTTAAACGGGAGAGCCGAGAAAACACCACACTTAGGGACCTGGTAACAAAATACTCCGGGTTAAAGGGGTTTTGAGCCGGAAACCAACGGCTGGGGACGGGAGGCAGATGCTGACTGTGTGATCGTGCAGATAAAATCCGTTGCTGAACGGCGCGTCTGAACCCACCCTCTGCGTAGCAAACCTGGACTTCCTCGGTGGTCTCCCATCCAAGTACTAACCAGGGCCGACCCAGATTTGCTTCTGAGATCTGATGAGATCCGGCTAGTCTGGGCCATCCAGGTTACAGTAAGGGACGAACAGAGGTGGTTTGCCACTGCCTGCCTCTGTGTAGCAACCCTGGGCTTCCTTGGTGGTCTCCCAGCCAGGTAGAAACCAAGGCCAACCTCACTTTGCTTCTGAGATCTGACGAGATCGGGCTGGCCACGTCAGGGCCTGTGTCGGTAACATTGCCGGTGTTGGAAAATTTGGTAAAAATAGTTAAATATTCAGAGTTTGCAACGGCTCTTTGTTCACTGGAGAGGAACGGCATTTTCTAATGGGAAGGGTTCACGGGAAATCGACAAAACAACAAAGACACCTAAGGCTCCATCTTTACACTTTGACCCCACGGTCTACAACAATGGAGATTCTTCTTCTTCTTCTTCTTAACCCCTAGAAGGAAATCACCTGAACGCATTAACCAATGATTCTTAGTAAACAGGCTTCAGTTTGGTAGGCTTTGTTTCCACTGGCTCTGTGCCAGGTTTCCTTCCAGGCCAGTCTAAACAACAGCATACAAGGAAAACACACATTAACCCTATAATGGCTGGATTTTAGACCTTGCAACACACATATTTCCAACAGCTGGAAGTGGTTTTTAGAGGAACTTAAATGTTGCACTTCTGTGTAATTTGGGTTGGTCGCTGGGAGACGTCTCAGCTGTTGCAGAAGCGATCGAGATGGGATACCCGTTTTTCAAAAATGAAACCACGAACAGCCAAACTGTTTTCAGCCACTCCCTGCGGGAAGGTGTTACCTGGACAGACGCCCCCTCCTTACGCCCTCGTCTCATCACCAGGAATTCAGCATCTTCATCCTTGAACGATGAGCGCTTCTCCGCAAAGGCCAGGAACATGGACTCGCGGGGCAGGTACAGTAAGGCCGGGATGCGGTAGGTGACGCCCCTGGGCGCTTCCTGGCAGAAGAGGGCCACCTTCCCAGAACCGACCCGAACCTCCGCCATGTTTTCTGGTGTGCAGAAACAGTCTGGGAAAGGAGGAGAGAAGAGAGAATGTCAAAAGATTCAGAGCAGTAATTACCTAGAAACCAGCCTCGTTAGTACTAGGTTAAAGGTAAAATAAATCAATTGCCTTGGAAGCACAGAACCTTTACGTGGTATCCCCAATCCTCCATATTTCCCGGTTAAGGGGGAAATGCAGTCGAAACACATTACAAAGATGACCTGACTCCAATGGTAACAAGAGAAAGAAATTTTGGTTTTGCGTGCAGAAGGTCCTGGGCATGTTTTCTGGAGTGCAGAAACAGTCTGGGAAAGGAGGAGAGAAGAGAGAATGTCAAAAGATTCGGAGCAGTAATTACCTAGAAACCAGCCTGGTTAGTACTGGGTTAAAGGTAAAATAAATCAATTGCCTCGGAAGCACAGAACCTTTACATGGTATCCCCAATCCTCCATATTTCCCGGTTAAGGGGGAAATGCAGTTGAAACACATTACAAAGATGACCTGACTCCAATGGTAACAAGAGAAAGAAATTTTGGTTTTGCGTGCAGAAGGTCCTGGGTCCAATCCCCAGCAGAACTGGAGAACAATCCAGTTTGGTGTAGTGGTTAGGAGAGTGGATTCTAATCTGGAAGGATCTGGTGTGATCCCCCACTCCTCCACATGCAGCTGCCGGGGTGACCTTGGGTCAGTCACAAGTTCTCTCAGAGCTGTTCTCTCACGAGCAGTTCTCAAGAGAGCTCTCTCAGCCCCACCTACCTCACAGGGCGTCTGTTGTGGAGAGGGGAGGGGAGGGGAGGGGAAAGGAGATTGTAAGCCGCTCTGAGACTCCTTCGGGTTAGGGTTAGGGTGAAGGGTGGGGTATAAATCCAATCTCTTTTCCCTCTTCTCTTCTTTCTCTAGCAGGGATCCTACGGCTGCAGCCAGGTGGGTCAACAAGAAAGGTTAGATGGGCCTGTAGTCACACTGATGCTCTGTTCTTTTGGCTCCAGGGCCAGAACTGAGAGGTTACAGAACTGAGTTGCTCTGAGTGAAGTCCCAGAATCAAACCAAACCGGACGGGTCGCCAAAAAGAGTAACGAGAACAAAGTAATGTATCTACAGAGCTGCATTTTGTTAAGAGAGCCAGTTTGGTGTCGTGGTTAAGTGCGCGGACTCTAATCTGGGAGAACCGGGTTTGATTCCCCACTCCTCCACTTGCACCTGGCTGGATGACCTTGGGCAAGCCGTAGTTCTGATAAGAGCTGTTGTTGAAAAAGAGCAGTTCCTGTCAGAGCTCTCTCAGCCCCACCTACCTCCCAGGGTGTCTGTTGTGGGGAGGGGAAGGGGAAGGAGTTTGTAAGCCGCTCTGAGACACCTCTGGGTAGTGAAGGGCGGGATACAAATCCAATATCATCATCATCATCATCATCATCATCATCATCATCATCATCATCATCATCATCATCTTCTTCTTCTTCTTCTTCTTCTTCTGTTATTGAAGGCAACACGACTCTTAACCTCAAGGGCATGCCCAGATCCACACCATCCAGACCAGGGGTCCCCAACATGGCGCCCACGGGCACCAAAGAGCCCTCAAACACTTTTTCTGGAGCCTGCCACGTGTTTTCAGGAAGTGGGTGGGGCCAGGTTGGGGCCCCCGGACCCAACAAACCTTCTGATTGGCTGCGCAGCTTTTTTTTTTTTAATTGCTTTGGCAGCAGCTACCACCTGAGCACAAAGATCTTCGTTCTGTGCCTGGCTGGCTCCGCCCACCACACTGTGTCAGAACTGCAAAAGTGCCCCATAGTCAGGAGACGCCACACATCCTTCCGCATCCTGACTCTGCATCCTTTTCTCTGACCCAAACAGGCACAGAGACGAGCTCTTTGTGATGTCACTAACACGCCCAGAACCCAGAACCCACCCGCTCTCTGACTGTTTCTCACCCAACCCTCAACAAAGCAAAAATGCAGTTTCCACCCCACCAACATTCATGCTTGAAACCTAATGCCCAGCACCAGGAGGAGACACTGTAATACAGCTCAGTGGTAGAGCATCTTCTTCCCTTGCACAGTCCCAGGTTCAGTCTCCGGCATCTTCAGTTGAAAGGACCAGGCAGGAGGTGATGTGGAAGACCTCAGCCTGAGACCCTGGTCTGACCCAGCAGGGCTCTTCTGAGGTTCTTATCAGGGGAAGACCTCGGCCTCTCTGCCCTGTTGTTGGCCCTCCAGAGGAACTGGCTGGCCCCTGTGTGAGACGGGAGGCTGGACTAGGTGGACCCTCCCTGGTCTGATCCAGCAGGGCTCTCCTGAGGTTCTTCTCAGGGGAAGGCCTCGGCCTCTCTGCCCTGGTGTTGGCCCTCCAGAGGAGCTGGCTGGCCCCTGTGTGAGACGGGAGGCTGGACTAGGTGGACCCTCACTGGTCTGATCCAGCAGGGCTCTTCTGGTGTTCTTATCAGGGGAAGGCCTCGGCCTCTCTGCCCTGGTGTTGGCCCTCCAGAGGAGCTGGCTGGCCCCTGTGTGAGACAAGATGCTGGATTAGGTGGACCCTCCCTGGTCTGATCCAGCAGGGCTCTTCTGAGGTTCTTCTCAGGGGAAGGCCTCGGCCTCTCTGCCCTGTTGTTGGCCCTCCAGAGGAACTGGCTGGCCACTGTGTGAGACGGGAGGCTGGACTAGATGGACCCTCACTGGTCTGATCCAGCAGGGCTCTTCTGAGGTTCTCATCAGGGGAAGGCCTCGGCCTCTCTGCCCTGTTGTTGGCCCTCCAGAGGAACTGGCTGGCCACTGTGTGAGACGGGAGGCTGGACTAGATGGACCCTCACTGGTCTGATCCAGCAGGGCTCTTCTGAGGTTCTTATCAGGGGAAGGCCTCGGCCTCTCTGCCCTGTTCTTGGCCCTCTAGAGGAACTGGCTGGCCACTGTGTGAGACAGGATGCTGGACTAGATGGACCCTCCCTGGTCTGATCCAGCAGGGCTCTTCCGCCCTGCTCTTTTCCCCTGCCCAACTCTATTCCTCTGGCCCACTATGCTTCGGCCCCCTAGCTAAGCAGTAGGCAATACCTCTCTTTAATTTTGTTTTGACAACTCCAGAACTGCAACCATAGACAATCAGAATTCATTTTCCAAATGTATAGAGGCTGGGAAACACATGACAGGGTGCGGCGTCTTAGTCCTCTGGCACACGGCAAAAAGGAAGAAACCCCAGTGCGGCAATCCACACCAAGCCTGCGCAACCCGAGACCCACGGGCTGGCAAGAACTGGGGTGGGGGTGGGTTGTGGCGACAGGGAGAATGTCAAGCTCTTGGCAGGCCACAACGCGCAGCTGCTGCACCACATTGGGCACGGCGGATCTCCTTTCCACGGACAAGTCCCGCCACGCAGGAATGTTGTGACCCCTCCAATTAATTAATTAGTTGTCGTATGGCACTGTGTAGTGTAGAACAGCCCAGAGAGCTGAACTGTCTGGCAGTCTTCGTGTTACGCTAGCGGTGAGCTAGACTTGGTTGTGGGTTTTTTTGTTATTAATATTTTATTGAATTTTTCACAAAGTATAATCAAGAAACCTTATAATTTGGCATTAAATACAGAAGATCGAACATAAACAGCATGCTAACTGATCATGTAAAGGTGTAAAACATGTACAAAGATTCAACATCTGCAAACTATGTGCAGTCGAAATCAGAGTAACCAAACATCAATCCTGTGAGTATGTAATAACTTGGTGTTTCAGAGTTCCGTGTATCTTAGAGAGACATCCTAGCCAAAACCTGTGGGTGGCCAGGCTGATCTGACTTGTTTTTCGGGGCTGAGAGAGCTCTGTGAACCCATGAAATGGCTTCTAGCAAGAATCAAGAGTGGCCTGCTGCAGTGGGGAGATATTGTTTGATACAATGCCAGTGTGGCACAGCAGTCAAAGTGTCTGACAGGTCTCTGGGAAACCCAGGTTCGAATCCCCCTTGCGCCACGGAAGCTCGCTGGGTGACCTTGGGCCAGTCACACTCTATCAGCCTAACCTACCTCGCAGGGTTGTGGAGAGGATAAAATGGAGTAGAGGAAAATGATGTAACTCGCTTTGGGTCCCCATTCAGGTGAAAGGCGGGATACAATAATTAATAACAATTATCCTATGGCATTGTGTGTCGTATAGCCAGGAGATCCGGAGATTGTCTGGGGCAGCCTGAAGTTATAGCTCACTTAGTGTTATGCACCACTAGGTGGCGAGCTAGACTTATTTTTTTGAGCTGAGAGAGCTCTGAAAGAGCGGTGACTGACCCAAGGTCTCCCAGCTGGCTGCATGTGGAGGAGTGGGGAATCGAACCCAGTTCTCCAGACTAGAGTCCGTCGCTCTTAACCACTATACCAGACACGATATAAATAAAGTAAATAAAATAAATCAAAAATTTACATGCATTTATGATTATCCCGCTTTTCGCTCCCCAGCTTAGGAAAGTATTCTTCCCTCCTGTATTCTCTCACGACATCAACCCTGCGAGGTAGGCCAGGACGAGAGGAACCAAGATCACTTGGTGAGCTTCCATAGCAGAGGTGAGGATTATGAACTGGACGCTGAGCAGAATCGCGTCTGCGGCTTTCTGGCTTTGACATGACACCCCCCCCCCAGTGAACTTGGGTCAACCATTCTCTCCCACTGCCTCACTAACCTACCTTGCAGGGTCGTTGCCAGCAGGAAGCAGTCCTGTAGGCTCCTTGGCGGAACGGTGGGATGGAAATCTAGTAAATCATGATAATAAAAACAATGCCTTTCCCCACCGACCCAAAGATGTTCTGCAAACAGGGTCAGAACACACACAAAGCTGCTTTATACAGAGTCAGACTCTGCGTCCATCAAAGTTAGTATTGTCTACTTCCACATTGAAATGCAAAAAAATTTGAAATGTACCTGTAAAAAAGAACCAGAAGTATTACTTTTGG